TTGTTGGCTCATAAAGTTACTATCAGTTTCATTGCGGAAACGCTTTAGATTAGATATAACTTACTGGTGCTATATAAGACTGAGCAGCTGCGGGCATGGAGTCAGTGTATGGTCGTTTGACCCCAGTGGTTATTCTATTGGCAAACTTACTTTTCTTTCTGTCGTTTTCTTACGCGCGCGCGCGCGTGTGTGTGTGTGTGTGTATGTGTGTTAACATGACGACTGTATTGTTGCGGAAATCATTCTGCTTCGATGAAAATACCTATAAACAGTATTACTACTCGCCACTCTCCCCTCAAGAAGAGAGTGATGACATCGTCATTAATAATAACACATGCAAGGGGGAGAATGAAAATCGGAATCGATTGATCATTTTTTTCAGGGATGTTAAATGCATAGATTTACGAGCATATTTACAGGAAACACTGTACAACGATATTTAAGTGGATGAGTCGTTTCGATCCTATTTTACAGTAAATAAGCAATAACATTTTAGAAATAAAAATTGTAACAAAATTAAGAAATATGTTTTATTGATGATTTAGAATAGCGTTGTAGTCATGAACAAAGAAGTATAATTTAACAGCACTTGTCGATGTTCAAGGAACAATAGATAAGAGCAAAGGCTGAACAACAATGAAAATCTAATGAGGGTGCAGGCCAACTGGATATCAATTAGATATTGGTTAATTGATCTGCACATCTCCGGAACCGCGTATCTTATGCAAAAACAGACTACATATTCGTGATCACAGCATGCCAAAACTATTTTTTAGGATCCTTCGACCCACCGTCAGCCGATGGGGGCTGAGGAATGAGCCAGAACTAGTACAAACTAACTACTTTCGGCGCTGGATGCGGTCTAGTGGAAAGAAGAGATGAGAACAGTATTCCATGTGAGGCGAAACTTGCGCTTTGTAAAGTTACGAGCGATGTACCGGCATGAAATACTGTTTCGCTCTTCTGACCACGCCAAACTTTTTAAAGGCCAATTTGGCCTTCCCCTTTAAGTGACTACGAAACTGCACACTATTTGATACATCGATGCCGAGGATTCTGATACTAGCTGAGACAGCAAGGGGAGTACCTTCAAACGGAGGAGATACGACAAAGGGGTTCTTTTTAGCGGTTAACGCGCAAACTTGTTTCTTATGGGAATTGAATTGGACTAAAATTAGTCAACTCGAGATTATTAAGCAAAAACATGACTTCAGACACAAGTTTGTCCCGGTACTCGGCGACGTTTTCCCAATAAATCTTGGCACGGCCGGTGTATAAGGCATCACCAGTGCTGTCGTCTGCATAGCAATAAATGTTTCAAGTTTGCAACGTATCATTGATATGCAGAAGAAACAGCGTTGAGGATAGCATGCAGCCTAATGGAATACCAGCGTTAATAGGCTATTAATCAGAGCATTCACCGTCTTTAACGACCTTGATGCTCCGATTAGCAGGAAAATTAGTGATCGAATCGCACAATTTCTCGAGAATCCCATAGCAAGGGAGCTTCGAAAGAAGCGCTACGTGACAGACCTGATCGAAGGCCTTCACTATGTCCAAACTAACAGCCAATGCCTCCCCTTGGACTCTACTGCCTCCACCCATCTATGAGTCAGGTAGACCAGAAGATCATCAGCTGATCGACCACGACGGAAACCCTATTGGCGGTCACTGATCAGCTGGCGATCCTCAAGGTACTTCATTAACTGCCAGTTTACAATTGACTCCATTATTTTAGAGAACAAGGAGATGATGGCAATAGGCTATTTCGGGATCGGGTGGACCAAAGCTGTCTTCCAAGAATTTGGGACTACGCCTTGAGAGTAGGAGTATCAGAAAAGACGCGTTAAAACTGGTGCTAACTCCAGAGCACACGTCTTTAGCACTATGGGAGGGACTCCATCAGGCCCTCTCGACTTGCTGACCTCCAGGGAGAGGAGTGCTTTACAAACCGAGTGCTGTGTAAATCGCACATCCGACATGGAGCACTCACACCGCGGGATGGTCGGCGGTGTACTCCCCCTGTCATCGAGAGTCGAGTTGGACGCAAAGAAAGAGCCTAGCAGATCGGCTTTCTCCTTTACGGCATGGGCCAGTGAGTCGTCTTCTCTGTGCAGAGATGGAAGAGATGACTGACAGAAGTGTCCTTGAACAACCTTGGCGAGAGGCCGGATTGCACGGGTTCCAGGAGGAAGGTGAACTGCTTGTCGTCAATTCTGCCGATGTGCTCAAACCTTGCCTTGGCATTGACTCTTTTGAAGGACCTGGAGGCGGAATTATACTTATTTTTAATAGCGGTGGTATTTACAACTGGAGACGTTGATGCATCAGCCCAGGCCTTGTAGCACTCCTGCTTATAGCGTGATGATATTTTACAGGAGCAACCAAACTATGGTTGGGATCCACCTCCGATGGGCACCACAGAGGACGCTATAAAAAGTTCCATACCCTGAAGTACCACATCGGCGACAGAATCAACAACAACGCTGGGATCGTCCAGCGAGAAGCGAACCCGCCCCCAAGGGTAGGATGCAAAAAAGACCGCATCCTATCCCAATCGACTGAACTATAGTGCCAAACACGGCGGCAGCCTGCATAATGCAACCACGATGTTAATGTGACTGGCACCACAATTTGGACAAGAGAATGGTCTGACGAGCCTAGAGAGGCGTCGACAGAAAACCTGATATATGACAGATAAGAGGTCAGCAGAAGGTCCAACAGGGAAGGTGTATGATCGTCCACATCTGAAATCCGCGTAGGCGAAGTAACCAGTTGTGTCAGACCATATGCCAAAGCAAAGTCATAAAGAGATGTCCTCGCATGATCGGTTAAACGTGATCCAAACCATTCAGCGTGGTGGGCGTTAAAATTGCCAAGGATCACGATCTCTGTGGATGGTATCTGCTGTAGCACGGAATCTGTAGCCAATTGGACGTGGGCGATGAGTCGGTCTGTTTCGGTATTACCACTATAGGACCTATGCTGGCACCTGTAGACGCGGGGATGGTCGATGGACAGGTCCGTACCTTCAATACTGCCGAGGCGTCGAAAACAGATGTCCTCTCTGACTTATATGCAAACTCCAGTCCGGGGCGCAAAGGTTTACTCGCGTACTGTGATAATTACAGCAAGCGTTAACCATCTGAGCTACCACAGCTCATTAGCATTTTCATCATTAGGTATTTGTACTTAGGTGTTACCCTCTCAAAAATGAGGGGAGGCCTGTGCCCAGCCGTGGGACGTATATAGGCTGTAACTTTACTTTTTAGATATTATCGTAAAAACTAGTTAGTCTTTTTTTCCTGACTCGTTAATACATTTTTTTTCGCATTAACTTTATTTCGTTTTCAAAAATCTTTTCATCAAGTCATAACCAGCATTTTAATTTAGCATTCACCAAAGTACACCTTCAAGTTAGTGGTGGGTCATTGTCGAATTTTTGACGGACGTAACGCAACCATTTTCCCGACGACGAAAACAGCTGTAGAAAACGGTCGTCGTTACAACTGGTTTGAAGACGGTCTAAAGGACGAAACTTATATTGATTTTTAGGCGCTAGTAGAACATACCTACGTGCTTTGCGCATATGGGATGCAATAAATATTACACATACTTGATCGATGATAAGGACTTATTTTTATAAAAATAGCGACTACTTGGAGGTTTTTTTTAAATATTACTGAAGTGAGAAACATGAACTTACAGTCCACCTGATGGTTGCTACAGTCCATGAACACCTACAGTCAACTTCGAATACAGGAGGTTACAGATGAGTTGTCACCTTTAAGAAATAAGATAGAATGCCCCACAGCCTGCAGTAATAATGTCCCACAGCCCAATAGCAGTGCTCGAACTGCGCCGCGTCTGTAAGATATTGAGAGCCCATATAATCACAGGCTGTGGGGCATTCTATCTTAGTTCTTAAAGGTGACAACGCCTCTGTAACCGCCTTTGTTTGGAGTTGATTGCAGGTGTTCATGGACTGCAGAAACCATCAGGTGGACTGTAAGTTTATTTTTATCACTTCAATAATATTAAAAAAAAACCTCCAAGTAGTCTACATTTTTATAAAAATAAACCCTTATCATCAAAGTATGTGAAAATTTTATTTTAATCCTCTCATGTAAAATTTTGAGTAATAAAAAATATAATTCAGTAATAGTACCAAGAACTTTAAGTACCTAGGTTTTAGTATCAAATATTGTGGAGTTTGAATAGTTTTAGGAAAAGAAGTGTAAGACAGGATGACGTTATATTCCCAGAACACTTCACCGCTGCATTGGATGACATTTTTAAGCTACTGGAATGGAAAGGATACGATATATATACTTTAATAACGAGTAGGTACATCACTCACCTTCGATTTGACGACTAAGCATATAATTATGGCAGAAGTGCCAGAGGGCCTCAGCTTTATAGTAGATATTACACATTTTTATAGATTCGATTAATTATTATGTTTTAGATTGGGCTTAACTAACTATAGGAAAGTTCAATTTATTGCAAGGACGTACATAAAGCTCTTATAAACATACAGAGACAGAAGTAAATATACCTAATTTACAGATAATTTTGATTCAAACAGTATGGCGTTTTTGTTCTCTTCATCCAAATCAACCTGTATTCATATTACGTGCATAAGCCTCTCTCATAGCAGAGATTTGTCGCAATTGCTACGTTTAGGTAGTTTCCCTCATCCTTGACATTACTTTCCATCGCTGGTCTGAGTAGTTTACTGTCATCTTACCGAGACTACAAGTATTGTTAGGCATTTTCCTTATGAACCTCTTATAACACACACAAAATGAGATAGGAGTTGGGTTGATGGATTCTTTTATGCCACCACTCCACGGCGATGTTTCGAATACTGAATTCGTTATTAGTATAATTATATTATTTCTAAAAAGAAAACTATTTTAATTATAATATAGAATGTGGTGATCAGATGAATTTAATGAAATGGGTATGATCCAGTTCAAGGCAATATGTAAATAAATTTAACGACAGGTGTAAGTATTCTGGGTACACCACATGGACCACATGGATTCGGCTTGTATGTTGTGCCTCGTGACGAGGCGTGTGCGGTGAACGTCTAGACGCGCTTGCACCGGTCGCGTAGCGCCCTCAGGACGATCTGCCCACAGACGTTCAGCCAAAGCGGCAGCTCGTGGCCAAACGCGAGCATCCAATCCACCTGCGCCCACCGTCGAAGACCACACAGTTGCTTCTCCACCTTCCAAGCGACCCAAAGTACTCCGTGACCACGGTCGATGCTCATAAATCCTCTGCCAAGAATTATATGGTGCACCCTGTGCATCTTCGTACCATGTCCCCATTCCGTTGTTTAAGTCCCAAGCGTCTTCATTAGATAAAACAGTTCTCAGACCACTAACATAGTTTTCGTTCCATGCTACATTTCGAGCCTGTAATCCAACGCTATGAACATATTCCTTCAAATCCGATTTAATTCTTTCACACAACTGCGATGACCATATCAACGTGAGATTTGGTAATTTTCCGTTAGCCTTTTCTAAACTTTGCAATGTTTTCCGTGTAAATTCGAGCCATATTTCCATAGGATCAGTGTCGTTGAAGACTTCAGCCCAACAATGTTCAGTGACCCCATCCCCGCCAATGTGAAAAAGATCGTCTACGCCAGTAAGTTGAATAATTTCCAGGAAAAGACGCTCCAGTATTTCATAAACGTGTAGATTACGAGGATTAAGTTGACCGCATGGCGGTTCATCACAATATGCAATCCAAGGCTCCGATTCCATGCAATGAGCCAGTTCTCCGAGGCCAACAGTGGGACCCCAATCCCATGCATGACCTATTTGTGCTGGTATGTCAACTTCCAAGAGCACGCGAATACCTCTAAGCCGAGCATGTCGTGCGATGGTGCGTACATCTTCTGGAGTGTACATGGCGGCGTGTTCATAACCCGCATAATGAGCAAGTTGAGGTACACTACCAAACATTATTGAGAAACCTTGAGCACCGGTAGCATGCCAGTGAAAAGTGTTTAATTTACATGTAGCCATGGCATCTATTGTGCGAATAAGTTCGTGAACTGGGAAATAGTTATGAGATGTATCTATCATCAAACCACGATAACGAAATCGTGGTGCGTCATCCACGCTAGCAGCTTCCATCATTAACAAAGACCCAGCGTAAGGGTCGAGCCATATCATCTGTGCAAGAGTTTCAAGCCCGTGTCGAGCTCCACAAAACGACTTTGCAGCTATATCCACAATCATGACACCGCCGCTCCCTTCCTTAGGCCGTACTGACATTCGATAGCTCTCATCAGTGTCGAGACGCATGCGAGGATCTGCACTTCCATTGATACCTACGCGTACAATAACTCTCTGCCACTCTTCAAATCCATGTATTTTTTGTTCTGTTAAACGTAATTCCTGACGAAATATATCAAACGCATCCTGCAGATGTTCCTGAACAGGTCGAGAAGTAACGCCCATCACTTGCAATTGGAATAAATCAGCACGCACGGGTACAGCGGTAGTCGATAAACTCACAGAGCCGGTAGGTTGAGGCCAAAGTTGAATGGTAGAACACAACATGTTGCACGTGACTAAAGACTGAAGTTTTCCGGAGATTGTTGCTTTCGTTGGCAAACATTTTTCATTTACACACTCCCACGTCCATAAAGGTAGCATGTTCCTGTAAAAAACAATAGAAAAATTAATCATTTTCGTGGTCATTTTGTTTGTAAAACGACTTGAAGAGTAAAAGTAAACTTACGAAGAAAAACTGGCTTTACATTTATCTTGCACATCGATAAATGATAGTATGAGAAAAAATGTGTTGATATATCGGGCCTTTAGAGGACACATTATCTGTACAAAACTATACCATTTTAAGAAAACTTATTAAAAATTTACATTGCGTAAATATATTTTATTTTTCTACTACACTACATTAAATTTACATTTGAAGCTTAGCTTAGCAAATAATATTTGACGTTGTTATTTAGTGCATAGATTAATGCATCAAAATAAGCCACTATTTAATGACTTATTTTGGCCTAATTTAACAGATCGTCACAAAATTATATAATAATCAGTATTAAGGTAATAGGGATCTGTCTATAATAATTAATTAATTAAATAATTGGCTTCTACTTATTATACTCGAGGTTATGGGTTATTTGAAAACTATTAACCATATACCATAACAATTTTAATTTTTTTGTCCGTGTGTTTGTCTGGGTTAAGACGACACATCGAAAATAAACGCTTAAAATGGCTCCGCCTATTCCACCCCGCGCCCCGCTTGCGACACTCGTCACTCGGTTCCTAAAATTTCAAACTCGCGCCAAATGCTCAATCGGAGGTAAACGTGCGATATACAGAAAGGAACAAGCAAGCGTCGGAGTCGCGACACACTATTATTTTTAATGTTTTTAATATTTTGCATCATTTATTGTCTTGTATAATAAAATTTTACTGCATATGTCATTGTTGTTGTCGTCATGTTAGTTTATCAAAAGAGAAATCAACAAAGCTTATATTTTTTTATTTATTGAAATAATAACTAAGTCATAATTTTTAAAACTGATTATATTGTATAATAGAATTTGTAACTACGTTTTTAATGATATTTTATTCCTCTTCTTTTTTAGGGCCATCATGCACATTTTCTTTATTTTTCTTTTTTGTTACATTATTTGGATCCCGAATTTGTTTATTACGAGTAAGTCGCGGTTCTACCGATTCCGGTAGCAACCAGTGAAAATAAAATGAAAGTAGTTTTTCTCCATTTTATCCTCCCAAAATGGTCATCTTTTACTATTGTTTCCACTTTGATTTAATTACGTCTATACCATACTGCCAATAAGCATTTAGATATTTCGGAAATATGCACCTGTCTTTGAACTTGCATATACCAATCAGAATTTTTGTTCACCTGGATCACACCACTTTTTTAGAAATGCATTTTTTCTTATATTATGACGTCGTCAATACCGACCTTGTATGCAATTATGGGATATGTGATTTCAAACAGGGTGTTACTTCCTATAAAACTGTCAGGCGTTGCTCCTAAAAATGGATGATTTTTGTCTATGAATAAACGATAAAGGTCTATATTTAGGTCTAGAAAATTTGATATTTTTTACTGTACTAGCGCAACTGTTGGTTTTAATTCTTGTGACAATCTTCCCAAAATTGGAGGTTGTAATAATAGAAATAAAAACTCGTTAATTTTTTTTTTTAATTTATTTTGGCAACAAACAGTCGTATACTAAGGAAATAAAATACTAAAACTTATCTATTATAAATTGACCTACAGTGCCGAAAACTTAAACATAATTTAAAAGAAAGTTACATGGTAACACTACATAGTGACTATTAACATAACAAAAAAAAACTAAGTACATAAACATAATTAAAATTAGAATATCAATTCAAAAAAAATGCAACTCACTAGCAAACCTTACTTAAATTATTTTTTATTGTCTGTTTTAAGGTATTGAGAGATGAATTAAAAAGGTCGATATTAGTAAATTGCTTATTATATATGTCAGTGGAACGGTATAAGAATGAATTACGAGTATATCTTTTATGTAACTGCGGAGGAACAAAAAGTGGTGTTTTACGTGAGGATCGCACCGGAAGACGAACACGAGCAATAAATGATACCTTTGAGAGAAGTTGAGAAGAGTCAATTAAATTATTCAGAATTTTATATAAAAAGATTATATCAAACAATTTGCGTCTATCGCAAAGGGATAATAATTTATACCTACGCAAAGATTCATCATATGATTCGTTAGTAATATTATTACGATAGTTAAGTGACCTAAGGAATGTCTTTTGTACTCTTTCAATTCTATTCCTATGTATATGATAACAGGGACTCCATACAGTACTACAAAAATCTAAGATTGACCGAATAAAGGAAAAGTATAGAGTTTTTAGCGTTATGGTTTTGTTAAAGGGTTTGCTAATCCTGAGAATAAATCCCAAGCTACGAAATGCATTGCTTAATATATAATCAATATGTAGATTGAATGACAATTTTGAATCCATTATTATACCCAGATCTCTAATACTATCTACTCTTTTAATAGTAGTATAATTCAAGCTATAATCAAATATTATACTGTTGACTTTACGTGTATAAGATATGATATGGCATTTATCAATATTGAGATATAGTTGGTTATTTGAACAGTAATCAAATAGAGAAGTTACGTCTTTTTGCAGCTTTACACAGTCATCAACTGTTTTGATAACTCGAAATAACTTTGTATCGTCGGCATAAAGTAAGTAATCACTATTCTTTAGTGCAAGTCCTATATCATTAATATATAACGAAAACAGCAAAGGGCCTAAGTGTGATCCTTGAGGCACGCCTGAAGTTACGGGTAGAAATAGTGAAGAGTATCCCTTTACACAAACTGCTTGACATCTATTTTCAATATAGGATTGGATCCACCTGAGAAGGCTGCCGTGAATGCCAGCCCTTGTAAGCTTCTCAATAAGAAGATCGTGATTTAGCTTGTCAAAAGCCTTGGAAAAATCTGTGTATACAACATCCACTTGTAAGTTATTATCCATGGCCTTCGACAAATAATCAGTAAAAGTTACCATATTGGTATCCACACTACGGTGCTTAAAGAAACCATGTTGTTGTTGACATATATAATTACGAACTGAAAACGAAATATAGGATGTGACAATTTTTTCAAGAACCTTTCCCAAAACACATAATTTGGAAATCGGTCTATACTCAGTAATTATATCTTTTCTGTTATTTTTTGGAATAGGAGTTATTAAAGATTTTTTCCACTTACTAGGATAAACACCGGTTTCAATAGAAGTTCGAAAAATTATGGTTATAGGTTTTGCGAGTTCTTTGGCACAATTGTAGATTAAAATGGGATGAATGTTATCAGAACCTGCGCCCTTACGAACGTTGATATTTTTTAATTCTTTAAGAACAATATCATAGTCAATATTAACAGAGTTTATATCTAACGTTGATGTTTAATGTCACTTAGAACAATATAGTGCACAATAAACGTAACAATGGGATTACTGTCCTAATAGTGCGTATTGAGTTGTAAAACGACCAACGGAATGTGACCTCCACCGACGTACAAAGCCTAGGTTGAAGCAGGCAAGCTTATAGTGGATATAACAAGAGTGTGGAGTCCCGATTCCTTATCTAGATATATGGCCAGTATATGGATGTTGTCAATATACCTATATAGGTAGCATTTAGTCAAATGTCATGTTTTATTTCCGCAAAAAATAACTAAAATGCAGCTATAAGCAACCACGCGTAGAAAACCTAATTATTCAAGTGTCATTTAACGCGGTGGAGTCATGCTGCAGTTATATTATGTATTAGTAGTTGTAGCACGAATGGGCCTGCTCGTCCGGGGAAGGACCACGCTCTCACAGAATACTAGCGTAAAATAGTAGCGTAATGCTGCTGTGTTTCGTATGGTGCGTGTAGAGAACCGGAGACCCTTTTTACTGGAAACGAGGCATTCCATCTTAGTCCTCACGGGTGGCAACATGCTCGTTTGTCACCCTATCCTATAAAAAAAAATCATACCCCGATACGTATAATGCAGAGGCTTATTTTATTTATATACGATTTTGTTCTCTATTCCCTTGTACGTAAGTACTAAGTAATTCGAATTATTTAAATGGCTAAGTTTTTTGAATCATACTGAATCTAGGTAGGTAGGTAATGTTCTTTGTAATTAACTACAGACATACGTGACACTAAAATGCTATTAAAATATTTACAATGATATTATTTACCTTGACTTGTTCGCCTCTGTCATTCTAAGAACATTTTTTTTTTCAAATTGCTCTTTCCTTTTTCTCCTATATATTTTTTTCTTAGTATTTCCCATTACCACAAACAAATTATTTAAGTACCTACTTATACAAATAATAATTTCCTATTATAATAATAAACCTATTCTACAACTATAGCTATTTGTAATAATAAAGATATATCCATAAGAATAGAGAGTACAAGCGAACGACTTGCGTAGGTCCTCCGTTGTAGCGGCCTCTCGCCGGACTGGCCCGCGTGAGTATATAATTTTTATTATCTATATAAACTATAATTATAACGTCATCATAAGGTCTAAAATTGCGTTACGTCCGCGACGATTAACACGCTTAGAAATTGTCAGAATCTTAAAATATTTTTAAAAAGTTTATGAATTAAGTAATCATAATGTGCGTATATAATTATAAATATTCACGTTACGAATACATTTGAGTGATTCCCAAGCATATAGATTAAGTAATTTTGTTGTAATTTCAACTATAGTAATTTTTAGAGGTGTTTTCGCAAACAATTATGATCGAGTCAAAATTATACAATCGTGTTTTTGAGCAAGCAAATTCAAGATAAAGATATGAATTTACTTATATCAAAATTTCAGTTTCGTTAGTCGTGTCATAGACCCATACTATTCGATGAAAGGAGGTGCATTTTATTAAGGTGTCGCCTTAATTTATAGAATAGCTGAGCCTATTGTAATGAAACTTTACGACCAGATAGAAAAAAAAATGCCGGGAAGGATTAAATTATCCGGACAACATGCAACCTTTTTTAGGAAATCAAAAATTCTGATAATCTCAATTTTCTTGATATTTCATAAACCTTATAAGATATTAAAAAA